CCTCGCTTTCTCCTTCTAGTGCGGTCCTTTGGCTCAAGTTTGGAGCTGCTTTTTGCGCGCTTGGCAAAAGTGCCCAGATAGAAGACAGGGAGTCCCGGCTGGGAGGAGGGGGCGAGCGGAGGAGCCCCGCCCGGCGGGCCGCGCCCCGCGCTCCGAGGGGAGCCGAGCGCCGGGGAGGACTGTGCTCGCGCTAGAAATGAGCAGTAAGTGAGCGGACAGCCCCCAGGCGGAGAGCAGGCTGCGTCCCGCCGGGGTTGCGGGGTGAGCTGGGAAACGCACCTTAGCCCCGGGCTGGACCTGGACGCGTCGGGCTGCGTCCAGCTGTGCGCTGTTCGGGGTCTAAGGGCGGGCTCCGAGCTCTAAATTCTCCCACTTTTGCAAAGTGCCAACTTCCGCTTCCAGTAGCTGGGGTTATAACCTCCTTCTCCGACCTAGCCTCGCCCCAGGAAAAGTTGGGTTTAAATTGGAAAGGTGGAAGTTGGTATTGGCAGAAATTGCAACCCTGAATTGTGTTCTATCACATTTTTTATATCCGTTAGCAGTGATTTTGCTAATCACAAGAAAGTCTGGGCTGGGGCATTAAAAAGAGAAAACTTAGGGCTTTTATGGCAAACAGGCTGAGTAGTCCATATGTGTGGGATGAAATCTAAAAATGTATGTAATTAATAATAGGGGTTTTTTTAATTAAAAAAAAAGCATTAAACTAGAACAGCAGTCAGGGAACACAGTGGTTGGATAAAAGTGAGTTAAGAAGAAGAAATTTTTGTTTCAATGACTTTTTGTGCTAGCCTAAATTTTCACGATGTTTACAAAGTCAAGACAGTGATTCAGGGATACTTCAATTATTGTCAAACATTATAAACACGATCGCTGGGCAAGATCTGAGGTTCTCTGGTCAGCAAGTTCTGGCAATGCAGCCACTGCTGCAAAGAACTCTGGGATGTCTGACAGTGACATGGATGGATGGACCCACATTCTTTCTCTGCTTAATGTCCTTTTGTCCAGAAATCGAGTCATGCAAATGAGCTACTTGGTACGTATACAGATCAATATTTGGAAAGGCATTTCTAAGTGTTTGCATTAGAGGGTCTCTAATATCCTGTGGCAACCAGTGGACTAAGAGGATATAAAAGCAAAGAGATAGGAAGGAAGTCAGCTTGACTGAAACCACCCTTGTTCTCTTTGTTTTCCATTAATCCTGAAATGGAACCTCAAATGAGGACAAGAATAACAGTAGAGAGAAGCCCTGTGGCCATCTGGTCTGTTCTAAGTGGCTAAAGTCATTAATATATGAATGAGACTTTATGCATCCTAATACTTGAAGATCCAGAAATCTCTTTATTACAGGAAAAAAATACACAAAAATAGTAGTTATGTTCATGGGGGAGGAAGTGTGGAAATCTGGTTTTGAAATATTATGGCGGAGGCGGGGAGACAAGAATCAGGTCCCACAGTGTAAACAAATTTATGTCATGTTCCCTGCAGGCTGTAACCCACCCCCCACCCCCCAATGAGATGGAGATTCTTACATGGCACAGTAGGTGCAAACATAAGAAATATTTTTAATTCCCTTAATTTTAGTTGATGTAGATAATACCTAAAGAAGGAGTTGGTTTTTTAAAAAAAATAATAACCTTGAACTACAGCTAACTGTATAGCAATTTTTTTTTCTCTTTTCCTTTGGTTGTTGGTCCTCTACCGAGGTACTTTGATTTCTGAAATTATGAGGAAACATGTCATTTCTGGGATTCCCATCAGCCAATGCATTGGGAGAAATTAAAAAAAAAAGACTCAGACCATCTTTCTCCTCTGAGCACAACAGTAAAATGATCTGTGTCCTTTCTAATGTTAGAATTTTTTCTATGGGGTAGATGGATGGAGATTGGTCATTGGGGGCGGGAAATGACAAAATGCCAATAAAGTAATTTTTTTTAATGAATTTTATTGATTGATTGATATGAGAGAGAGAGGAAGCGGGGAGAGAGAGAGTGAGACAGAGAATTTGTTGTTCCGCTTATTTATGCATTCTTTGGTTGCTTCTTGTATGTGCCCTGACCAGAGATCGAACCCACAACCTTGGCTTATTGGGGACGATACTCTAACGAACTGAGCTACCTGGCCTAGGCCAATAAAGTCATTTTTAAAGATGGTCTGTACTCTCCTAATTTTTCAAACTAATTTTGAAAATTATCTTATTTACCTTTTAAAAATTATTTCTGAGTTGTTTTTATAATGTTAGTTTTTATCTGATTTATAAGCAAATGTATAAAATCTAAAAATTTGTTATCTGAGTTGCATAATACTTGTCTTATTCTTAAATATATATATGGGATTAAAATAAAACATTTAATAGTTGAAGTCTTAAACCTAGTGTTACTAAATGCAGTTTTGACCTTTAAGATAAAGGTGCTGAGACTCTTGAAGGGATTACTTATATTAAAGTATTAAAGAATCTTTTCTAAAACTACAGCATTGAAAAAAGAAGCATAATAATATTCAGAAAGATTAAAGATGTAATTTGTATGGAAGAGGCTAAGCAAAAGATACTTAATGAATAATTATAAACCAACAGCTTAGCAGTAAAAACATTTGCTGTTGTCCATGAGAGGCTGATGTAAAGAATGGTGTATTATGACTAGGGAACAAGGCTAAGTAAACTTTATCTTTTAAAAGTATTAAGTGGGAATTAAGACTATTATTGGAAAGAAACTAAATGATCATTTAAAATTATTCTTTCACAAGAAAAGTAAAGAAAAAGGATATGGAAAACTAAGCAGTGATGAAGACCTCGAAATAATTGTTGATCAAAAGCAGGTAAGTGCTTACATACATTTGCTACTGTTTCACTGTAGAGTTTTGACAGCTGAAGCCCTCTGAGCATTTGGCCCTGCCCTAACTGAGGCCTGTCTAAGGAGGCCCGTCTAAGGAGGCCCATCTAAGGGAGTTCAGTCTAAGGAGGCCTGTCGTCTAAGGAGGCCTGTGTAAGGGGGTCTATCAGGAGGCCCGTCTAAGGGAGGCCTGTCTAACAGAGGCCTGCATAACAAGATAGATTTTGAGAGCAACTAAGCCTCCCTCTTTGATGCCTCTGGTCCACTGATTTTTGCATGTCAGCATGTATGTTTTGCATGTAAAAATGATGAAAAAAAAGCAGAACAAGATAAGAGAACTTTTGGGAAATTAAAAACCCCACTTGAAAAGTCAATCAAAATAACAATGGTAATTTGGTTAGAAAAATAGATTTAAGAAAGAACCAGAATGTATATTATTTTCAAAATGAGAAATGCTACCATTATTGTAAAACAATGAATAGGATTTAGGGAAAGGAAGGTAAAAGACTTTTAAAAACTGAGAAGTTTAAAATATATATATATTGCCCAATTTAGTTTCTTGGCTAGTCTTCAGTAAATTTAGAAATGATGTTTAAAACCAAAATGAAGCTATTTAATATGTGTAATACTGCCTATAATTTGAGAAACATCTAGCTTGGATTTTATATGGGCCCATAAGGTGAAATGAAAACTGCTTAATAGACCATAAACAATGACACACCGGGTAATGGAAGGTATCCAACTTATGCCACTGAATTAGCATTAGCCCTTAATGTCTATGTTAATTATCGGGGAGACAAGCTAACTGCACATTCATTTAATGTATAAGTGGCACTGATTCTTAGGGTCATGTAAACTCAGGTGGAGATAAAGAAATCATTCAAAGGAATATGAGCAGATGAACAGGTTAGAAAGAAAGCTAAACAAAGGCAAGTTGAACTTGGACAATTTCCTAATTCTGCAGTTTGTTTTGCATCGTGGTGATTGCATTAAAGGAGCAATTGTATATATTTCTGGGGGGGGGAAGGAAAAATGACCATCAGAAAATAGCAGCCAGAAGCAGGTGAGTTAGAGACTTGCTTGTTAGAGCTGAAATAATTGAGGTAAATGAAGTGATTTTCTGGGAAAAACTGGCCAAACAAAACATCTCTATAAACTGCCTCCGAGTTCGTCTTGCCTTATCTTCACTCTCCGGCTCCTGAGTAAAACACAGGGGCGGAGAGTGTTTGGCCCTGTATTTCTCCTTGGTGCCAGATTGTCAGTTTAGTTAATAAGGTAAGTGGGGCTAAAGCCCAAGTGCCCCACTGGGCTTTAACTAACTCTTGTTTTAACTGTGCCAGAATTATTACTTGGGGCATGTGATCACCATATCCTGCAGGTCCTGCCTGTAGGCTGGCATCCTGCAAAGGACTGGACCCACCTGGTGAATGAATTAGTAAAATGCAACTCAGTATATTATGAGAATACACATGCCTATACATTCTCTATTAAAACAAAAAGTTATTATTCAATTTCTTTCTTAATCATGTAGAAGGTAAATTCTTGCTCTTTTTTCTACTTCTTTAGTTTCATCCTACCCCAAGGCTGCTTTTCTTTTCTTTTCTTTCATTTTTCCCCTAAAGCTTCTCTTTGTTTTAACTGAATTTGGGGATTCCAGAAACTATAAAATTAAACATTGAGATCAGAGTGGGAAGCCCAAGGGGGTTATTTTTTTTTTTTATCTCATGGTACCTTTCATAAAACTTATGTTGGTGTGCCTAAACTCATTTTATGAGCTGTGAAGCAATCTTTAAAAAAGTGTGTGTGGCCTGGCTGGGCATGGCTCAGCGGTTGAGCATTGACCTAGGATCCAGATCGGGGTTTGATTCCCAATCAGGGCACATGCCTGGGTTGCGGGCTCGATCCCCAGTCAGGGGCGTGCAGGAGGCAGCCGATCAATGACTCTCTCATCATTGATGTTTCTGTCTCTCTCTCCCTCTCCCTCCCTCTCTCTGAAATCAATGAAGATATATTCAAAAAAATAAAGAAATAAAAAGTGTGTGTGTGTGTGTGTGAGAGAGAGAGAGAGAGAGAGAGAGAGAGAGAGAGAGACCTACTTTACTGCTTCTTCAGAAAATAACACTTTCCATACCTGAATCAACTGAGGGAGAGTTTTATTGGCCCAGTCATTGTTTGCCCCTGTAGTTATCACATTTCCTCCAGTGCTATTGTGCCAGTTGGCACCAGTTGGCAGTGACCCAGCTTTGCTGAACCATTCATGTCAAACATGTTTCAAAAGATGAGTAATTATGACTATGACTTGGCATTGGTGTTTGCTGTTGGCTGTAAGAGTAGTTCTTTATTTTGGGGGCAGTTTATTTAGTGTTGATGTCGTGAGTAAATCCTAAGTCGGAACAATGACAATGTTGATACCTGTAAGTAAAATATTTAGGGAAACACTCTAATTAGTCTTCATAATTCTACAAAAAAATCTTCCTGAGTTTAAGAGATCAATATTAAAGGTATGTGTGTAAAATACATGTTTAATATTGTGTCATCTTATAGATTATACATATTATTTATATATAATATAATTTTGTGTATCTATATATTACATATATAAATAGTATGTATACACACACTATTTGGGGAGGAATCTTTATGTTCAGTTTATTCTTCCTTTCTTTTCAGAAACATGGTAGAAATGTGTTAGTCAACCTTCATGTAATTGCAAATAGCTTTTTCAGTAAATGGTGCCAAAAGAAAATCTAAAGATTAAAAAAATAGTTGGAGGCTGTGATGGGCGGAAATCTACTAATCTCATTAAATCTGTCATTCAGAAGCTGTCTCTCTACAAATGCTGTGCAAGCTGTATGCCATTTTATCAGTTGTGTGATTTGCAAGTCTTGTACTTCACCGAAAGCCCGCAATTTTGCTTATATAGGCAAATTAACAACAGGAGCAGCACAGAGTGAGTGCATTTTGTTCTCCCTGCTGCCCACATTCAGGGGGTAAAAAGGTTATTTCTGTGTTATTTCTACACAAGAGAAGTAATTTTGGAAATGTCTAAAGTTTTATTGTTAAATGGTAATATTGTGCATCTCTCTTTGTGAAATATTATTGGCAAAGTTTATTTGGTTCGCATATAAAACATTTCAGAAAATTCTTAGATTAGTATTGATGTCCTCAAATAATAGGTGTCGTATAATATGTAAGGATACACACAAGATACATACACAGTCATTTAAATGTAAATGTATCACATTGGCATCAGAGTCCAATATTTTCCATGAGATATCCCTAGAGTTTTTAAACTCCAAGCCTAGGAAGATAACCAAAGGCAACATACTAGATTAAAATCTTATTGCCTTAAAATCCAGACATTTGACAGAAAATATATATACTTTTTATTATAATTACATATACAAATATAGTTATTATATATAAATTATAATATATATAATTAATGAATTGTGTTTGGCTTTCTAGAATAAATATTAAAAGAAAAAATTAAATATATATTTTGGATCATTTTATTATTTATTCAAATATTCTGTCCTGCTTGAGGAGGGGTGGATTTTGTTGAGGAACAGGTTTCAAGTACACATGAATTTCCTTTGGAAGTTAGTGAGATTTCAGGGGTGTGATTAAAAACAACCACTTTGAATAAATAATAAGTTCATTATATTTTAAATTACTATTTTTAATTAGAGTCAACTTAATTCAAGGTTTATAATATGCTGGACCTAAATAGTTTTTTTTCTAAAATGTTTTCAAATTCCAAGTCGACTTAAAGGAAGTAATAAAGGCCAACACAAAATTATAGTCTTATGATTATATGAAGGATATACTTACAGTTTCAAGCATTTCAAACATGGGTTTAGCAGTATGTTGTGGATGTAGTTGGTTATAGGACTCAGAGTTGCAGCTGCGTATCCTTCAGAGCAATATGTCAAATGTTAGTCAGTTATAAGGGGAACAAGTAAGTGAATACAGATGAGGGCAGTGGTTCTCAGACATTAGTGGCCTCAGAATCCCCTGGAAGCTCGTTAGAACATGGAGTGCCAGGCCAGCCCCAGAGTTTCCAATTTCATAGGTCGGGGGTGGGGCCCAAGAATTTGCATTTCCAAGTCCTCTGCTCCCACTGCTGGGCCACCCTTTGAGGACCTCTGGGTCAAAGGAGATAAGTATGACAGTTCTAAAGAGAAAAAATATATGATGTGATAAATTTGACACTGTTTAACTGTGCATTACCTGGAAATCTAAAACCAAGAATCCATAGACATCCCACATAATAATGCTGAAAACAAGAAAACTACAACCATTTACAACCAAAGGTGCTGTTAAAGGTCTGGGTTTCCAGTCTGACTGAAATCCGCTTGGTAGCCTTGTGACCTTGAACCTGCCCGAGGTATATTTTCTTATTTGTATAATACCTCCTAGAGTTTCTCGAGATACAATTTGTCACAGTCCTCTGTAAACTGTCAATCATTACATCATTTCCATTAGCTAGTCATTACCACCTGTACTCACCTGCTTCACCTGCCCTAACAAAATACCACAGACTGGGTGGCTGAAATAACAGACATTTATTCCTCATGGTTCTGCAGGCCAGAAAGTCCAGGATCAAGATGCTGGCCCACCTTGAGGGTTTCTGGTGAGAGCCCTCTTCCTGGCTTGTAGATGGCTGCCTTCTCTCTGTATCCTCACAAGGCAGAAAGAAAGAGCCCTGGTGTCTGTTCTGTTTCATGGGGGCCCCACTCTTATGGCCTCATTTAACCTTTATCACCTCCTGACACACCCTGTCTCCAAATACAGTCACGTTGGAGGTTAGGGCTTTGGCATGAATTTGAGGGAGGGGTACACATTCAGTCCATAACACCACCCCACAATCCCATTCTAGCAAACGGGAACACTGAGACCTAGAAAGGTGCGTAAAGACACCTTGAGTCCCTGGGCAGGTGCAGAGAGCGCCCTGGACGCCAGCCCTCCCTCCTGAGGTCCAGT